GAAGTCAGTTGATGATTCACTCAGAAGTGAAGACCAAAGGTAGGAAATTACTAGTAAGTTAAAAATACCTTAATGGATTTGACGCTGGTCAGTATTGCTTTTGTTTCAGAATTGTTGAAGCTAAAACCTTTACTTATTTTGGGTGGCAAAAGAAGAATAAGGGGGCCATAAACAAGAAGTTTGTCTAATCAATAATAATAACAAAAATTAACAATAATATAGTCTAAAAGGTGAACAGCTTGTAAGTACTTTCCATTCCAAAGAATCTCAGAACTAGGTTAAACAGTGAACAGACACGAAACGTTACTAAATATCTCCAATTTCATTAAAATATGGCTACAGGAGAACCTGAGATGCCATCTTTTACTCAACATCACTGTTACTCAACCTGTAGTCTGAAAGACATGAGATGCATGCAGATCTGAGGTATATGCAGTATTTATCAGTGTCCAGGAAGCATATTTTAAGGTGAACGATATAGTGGTTCCTATACCTCATTAAAATACTTTAAACTAAACTCCAAAATGGTGATTTTGTAAAATAGTCATACTGTTTACTTAATTTTTTTATTTATTTAACAATCCCCCCATCAACCTATAACTGGATGGAAGCTAATTCATCAACCTTTAAAAAAAAAAACGGTCTACTGATTAAGAAAATACTGTGAAACTTAACTAGTTTCCTCCTCTGTCTCAAGTGTGGAGCAGCCACCCTTACGCTGTCTGTGCTAGAATAAGTCTAACCTGTTCTAAGTACTTCTCTGAGCTTCAGCTAACGAATTCTAGTTTAAGGAATTTTGTGGCTGCAGTGTCTGATCCAAGAGGGTCCTTATACACAACACACTTGATAAATGCTGCCTTTATGTCAGCAAGTTCCTGACAACTCTTCCGAGTCTGTCTTTTTAACCAGCTGTGCTGACACATCATGGTACTTTTATTTCCCTGACTTCTAAGAATCTCACTCTGATCATGTTAAAAAGCTTTAATATACTAATATGCCACATCTTCCACTTCCTTCCATCCACATAATACCATCACAGGAGAAAGATGGGTAGATATAACATTATTTGTCTGGGGGGGGGGAAAATCTATGCAGTCCTTTATCTTCTAGTGCTTAGAAACAGTCCCAGAATTTTTCTGGAAACTGAAGATTAGGCTGAGTGTGCTAATTGTCCTCCATGCCACCATGTTTCATAGATAGGAAGAGAAACAAGTGATGTGCCTACCTTCCAAAATCTCACAGTCTCCACAAGATAATCACAGGTTTTCACAATTTGCACTAGATTTCCTTAATAAGATTAAATCAAGGTGCAGTGAGAGAGCTCCTGTCCAATTGCTTAAGCATCACCAACCATTAAAACAAATACTAGTTCTACCCATTCTGCAATATCATGAGAAAGGATACAGGGAAAAGAGGTGTTAACAAAGCCCCAGAGAATGACAAACGGCAGCTCTCAGTGATGCCATCTAATGTTTTTGGCAAAAAAAACTGAGGCAATAATTGCTTGAAGTTACAACAGCATTTAAATACTAAAGTTAAAAGAAAACAAATCTGGAAACAAACTTCTGATGGCTTTTTAGAGAAAGGCAGACATATAAAGAGCTATAATGAATATCTGTATACAGAGTTTAAAAACCTTCACAAAAGCCAAGACAGACAATAGTTGGCAGGCTGCTCACTAGAACTCTTTGGGACTATTAAGGATGATCTGTTTTAAATTCTTCCTGAGAAAAAATCTCAGCCAGCTCCAAGGGCAGCTCATGTATAATCATGCTTTTGTTTAGTCAAGACTGCAAGAGTAGAACAAGTATCAACTCCTTCTGCCCTCAATCAGCCTGCTCCTGTGCAATTTTACAGTTATGAAGCAGAAATGTTTCTATTTGCTGCAGTTTTCTACAGAATTAAAAGGTCACAAAAAAAAGAAAAAAAATCTTAACATTCAACTCATCAGCTACACCTACAGGCTCTGATCCTACAAACACTGTCACATGTTTCACTTCAAGTAATTTCACTAATGCTACAGTCGGAAGACTGTGCAGGAGGCTCTGTGCCACAGCGATGTTAACATTCACAGCAGTATCTTCTGCCAGTCCGAGTGCTATGGAAACACGGCGTTGTGCCAGTGATTTCACAAGAGCTCTTTAGGTCTGACTGGTTTGGGGAAAAAAAATAATAAATAAAATAAATCCCCTTTCTACTGGGCAAATATCAAACCCAACCTCTAGTCCAGGAGGTACCAAAAGGATTACTTAGCCTATAGTCAGTGGCTAAGCTCTTTTGTCTGTAAAATACTGGAAAAAAATAGGAGGGAATAAAGAAGCGAAGGGAAGTTCAAATGTTACAACCAAGCTGCCAATTTACCTGAATATATGCACCACAGTAGAGCAAAATCTGCAGAGTAGCACATGTCAGGCAAGTAGTATCTGCTCTTCAGGTGGGTCTCCTGACTAAGAGTGTGGGGAGGCACACAGCTTCATATAAAGCCTTTTATTTTAATGCGATTATTCAGTGAGGCAGAATTGCTTTAAGCTATATATTCAATTTGCATGAGGAGACATGTGAAGTTTGCAGTCTTTTCCAGGGATACTACAGGACAAATAAACTTCAGTTTTAATTGTGCCTTCATTATAGTGGAACAAGAATTGATAATAATCAGAAACCGTTCAGGCACTGTTCCCCAACTTTCCAACCACTGGCAAGTGACTTCAGTTTTGAACTCTACAAATTTTGCTCTAAGAAATGCTGAAATATTGTGAGTCAGGCCGACTTGGCCATTAAATTAAGAGGGAAAAATCACAACAATGGTCACAACAGGGGAAAATCAACTTCAGAAAGGGCTCAGGCAAAGGGAAGTGAGAAAAGATTGGCATTACTTATTTATCGACTGTGTTACGGTCGGTGAGTTTACATAGTTATCAGTAACTAAAATAACAGGAACTAATCTCTCTCTGATGACAGGCAGAGCACGAGTTTGAAGCTGTGAATGACAGGAGGCACATTTATAATGCATTACAACAGCACTACTGGGAATTCAGACCTTAGACAGCACATAGAGACTGAAGCGACTTGTGCCGTACGATGTCACCCTCCAGAACATCCAGTTATTCCACAGATTTCTCATTCATGCAAAACTCCATGGTCTTTAGGTAACAAGAGCTCTGCCTGACTGAACTTAATTCCTAGTGCTCTAGGCTGAAGGTAAGAAATATGGATTGCATCAGAAACCACAAAATCCTGCAACTCCAAAAATGTTTTTCACCTTTTGTCTCTGACTGACATTGCTGGTTATGTGGGATAAGTTATCAGGAAAAATTTAGAGGAGCAAGAATTATGGGAGGATACAGGGAGAAATAACAAGGACTAGAAGTTGATATTGTCATCCCTTTTTTTTTTTCTTTTGCTAAACAGTAGTCCCAAAAGTCTGGAAAAATGACAGCCCCTGACGATAGAACTGCTCATGACTGATTTACAAGAAGGAACAGCTGAAATGATGTACTGGGCCCACTGGTAAGCCAAGCTGAGAACTTTAAGCTAATATAGTACAAAATTTTACTCAGTAAAATCCCATTATCAGTTGACAACAGGAAGAAAATATTAAAACAGACAAGAATCAGATCAAATATTGACTTTGTTCAAGACGAAATTGAAGCGAAGGCAAGAATGCAATGTATTTCACATGAGAAGAAAAGAAGAAATCAGACCTGAAAAATTAAGCGTAATTTTGGGAGAAAAATCAAAAGGAAAAATATTTTGTATTTATCACCATAGCACTTTTGACCTTCAAAACACTCAGCAAAATGGGATGTAATGGAGATCTTGTAAATTCATTTTGGAGAAGAGCAGAATACTGGGAATGCTGTCCCTGACACAGAGAAGTGATATTGGCTAACTGAGCTGAAATATTCTACGCAATTATTCAAATTTTCCACAACAAACTCTGCAAGATGAGAGAAAACACAGGTAGTGCAATACATATGCGGTGCTAGTAAAATGTGAAAACTGAAAGGATTTTATTGACTGATATGTTCTTCCTGAAAACTCACTGAAATGTACAAACGGGACATTCAGTAACTGATTTGTACATTTTGGTTACACCGATTCTTGTAACTACTTTAAAGAGAAAATATTATTTTTCACTTACAGGATGTTCACATCATTGCAGACACCAAAAGTGTTGAGATTTTCTAGTCTAAAAGTGAAACCAAAGTAGACTGGACATAATGGTACATCGCTTTATGCCAATCCTACTGACTCAACATGCGCCAGTTTCACACATCAATTCGTAAGTACCTACTGTACAGTTAGTGAAACACCTGACCAAGCATATGTCTGAAGTCATGATTGCTTATTAAATTAAACCCCTTTTCCTCGACTTCCAAGTTATTTGCAGAGACAAACATATTTAACTGAGCTTGATTCTCTGCAGAATGTTCAGACAACCACGTCTTGTCAGTATCTCTTTGAAAACCGTAGGCCATGCTTCACAGAATTAATTTTGGGTGTAGATATCTACACAAATGTGCGATTAGTTTCAACAGGCTTCAGAGTCCTTGCAAAACAGAATGCCCTATTCTCTGGCCATAAGCTTTCACCTGACAAATAGTATTATCTTCAATCAATTACTGCCTATTTGTAAATTTAGAGCTACTCACTGATTTCAGGCCTGCTAGAACAGCTGGGTCTATTTCAGAGCTGCCTGAAGGCTTTGGAGCTTCTAATTTCAGAACTCCCACGTTTGTTTTTAAAATCTGCAGTCATCAAAATGTTACACAAAGGCCACAGCAACTGTAATGCTCCATTCTGTGGCTGTTATTGAACACCAGGCATTGTCTATGTAGCAGAAGATATTAAATACTGTATGCCATACTTAACCTGAGGAGCTGTCTCACAGAGGAACTCATATATGTCTTTGTACTTGTTTTCAATTAACCAACCTTTTAATTACAGTCTTATATTTCTTTTTTTCCTGGTACAATCCTAAGAGCAAAAGGTCATTAAATTCTGAAGAAAAGAGGTCTCTTTTATAAGCTCAATACAGTACTTTTATATTTCAGACTATGATATACAATGTATACCATAAATTAATTTAAGACAAATACTTGTCACTTTATCTATGTAGGCACAAGTAAATCAGTGACTTTACTGAAGCGGAGAAATCTTCAATGGTATCATGATTCTGGACTCCATTTCCTGAATAAGGGGCACTGAAAAAAAATTGAGACAGGGTTTAATTTCACTAATGGAGATCATTACCTGTTCTGCACACTCAGTTTGAACAGATATTATTGTCTTCAAATTACTCTCTCCTAGCTAGTGCATGCCAAGTCATCAGTAACCACCAACATTCCTGTAACTGAAGCAGAGGATTTTTGAGAACAAGTGATTTTTTAATGTAATCTGTCTGCTCCTTTGAAGATAAATATTCCTATTCCTTTTCACCATAATGAAAGTTAACTTCCATTTTCCTGGTATATTTCCTTTGAAATGTACCCTATGGAACCCAAATCTGACATGCTTAGCATACTTTTGTGGGCTCTGTTATGAAAGCTATCTTTGATCTCAAAGATCTCCTGGCTTCCAGTTCCAAAGTCTAAATCCCCTTTTTGAAGGAATGTATTTAACAAGGCTCCCATATTTCATGAAATATTAGAGGTAATAATTTAATATAAACATAAATATCATTATTTGCTCCCTAAATTTCTGGACACGAACTGTTCTTCTACAGGACAGGTGTTTGTATTAAAATTTACTATTAATGTAGCAATTTTTTAGCAATTAGGCAACTTTTCCAAGTTTGTACTATCAATTGCAAAATTAACTTTACAGCTTAGTGAAATGTCCCTCCTTTCCCTTACAGTAGGAAAACTGCCACACACACATACCAGAGATGCAAAATGTTTTATCATTGTGCAATGTACTGAAGAACAAAAATGACATGGCATGCAAAAAAAGTCTACCTCCAGCATTCCAATGAAGTTAATAGGTTACCTGTGTAATAGACTAGTTCATCCCAGCCAGGTTTATGCCACGCAGCATTCCTTATATCTTCTCTGGTCTGCAGATCTTTGTAAGCTGGTGAGGGAAAACAACAAGCACAAAGCTTAGAACTCCTTTTCCTTCTACCCATGAATAGCTCCCTTAAAAGTATTCTAGTGAGTAATTAGGAGGCTGCAAACACTGGGAAGGAAAAAAGTCAGAAGTTCTTCTCCACAAAAAGGAAAAGCTCCCAAACCAACGCAAACAGAAGGAACTGGGGAAGAGAGAGAATGTCTTAGACACAGGTAAGACAGATAATGCAACAGAGTGCAGTTCTACATGAGTGGCGTCAGATTTCTAATGCTGGAATATAATACTCTGAATTGAGATGTGAAGATAATACTGCCTATTTTCTAAAATAAGTATTAGACAATGAGTTTCTTCAAGGTGAAACAATCCTAACACGTGAAAAGCAGTTAAGTATTTGTGAAGACTAACACACAGAGAAAGCCAAAACACCATGATGCAGTAACATAAATAAATGCTTGACTTTTCTTTTTGTAGGTGTGGTGTATGTGATGCTTGAAACTAAACTGTAAAAATCTGACTTCAGCATGAATGGGGATGGAAAAAAGAGATGGCAGGACATGGTTTGTCATGCTTATGTTATTGAAAGCAAACAAGTAGTCCCTAATAAGAAAGACCATGAGAAACTGTTGATGGAAACAGAACAAAACATGAAATGTTCACTTCTGCTTGCTTGTTTCAAAAATAGTTACCTACACAAAAATTAAGAAAATCAACACTGTTGATGTAAAATAAAATAAAATAAAACAACCCACCACTTTTCAGACCTTCCTTTGCCTTTTGTAAAAACCCTGTCTCCTGGGCAAAGTCAACAATCTGTTTCAGTGAGAAAAAAAAGCAGAGAATACAAACAAATTTACCCCAGAGGTGATGAACCATATACAGCTGTCCAATTTGTGAGAAAAATCCTCCAACTGCTTCATTATTATCCTGTCGGAAACGAATTGCACGAGCCCTACAGAAGAGCAAAGCAGCCATTAAAAACAGCAGATCTGAGTAGGAAATAAGTGATAATTGAAAGGAAAACAGAGTTGAAAGGAAGCCAAAATGTTACACAGCATTTGCAGTACACTTCAGCAATTAAAAATAAATAAAAAACCTGCAATACGCTGATTTGCAGCACTAAGTCATTAAAATATACCTACATATCTTCTTAAAATGAGTTAAAATTGGAGACCTACTGTTTCACCAGACTGTGCATTAATCATTTCTCAGTGTTAGATTCAGTACAAAGATAATTGCTAGAACAATGTAAAGTCGGATTTTTACAGTGGGTTCTTCTCAAACTAAATTGTTGTGTTTCAGTCATATCGTCTTTGCCACATTCATTTGCAGCAGATTTTGTGGCAGTGGAATACAACTTTTTTATTCACACAGACCTTTGCTATGCAACACTCCATTCCTCGGTGTGAGATCGGTGTTTCTTTTAACTACAGATCAATTGCATCTTCTAGAACAGATTGGCTACCACTATAGATATGACTGTTTTATAAAAATTCTAAATTCAATTTACTTTATTCAAATTACTGTAATTAAATAAACTATATCAATGACAATGACACGTCTAAAAATCCAAGTCCTCAGGCTTTGTCATAGTAATTGAAAATACTCAAAATTGTTAACTACCAACCATCAGAGCTGCATGGACTAAGTGAATGTAAACTGAAAGAAACATGAACTGGTTTTAAATAAGACAAACTCAGAAGCATATACTCAAGAGAAGACTCTCAAATGCTTTTAACCTGTGTATTAAAATACAAATGTGTAGCTCCATAGCCTTTCAAGAAGCAACTTGACTTTTAAAGATAAAAAGAGCCAAGATTCAGCCCATTTAAATTAAAAGTAAGTTAATTTAATTAACTAGAGGTCTTGTGGAAGTTGTGAAAGATCGACAAGGTCTCGAGGACTTAACTGCCACTCTTCACTGAGCAGTGCTTCCTGATGAAAATAAATGGTTTCCACTAATTTACAGCAAACTAAAAGCCAAACAACAGAGCCCACAATTTTGTTTGCACACAGAATTTCTCTTTCTTTCCTCAAAGGATAAATTAAGGGTCAAAGAACTACCTTACAAGTTGTGTAAGTACAGAAGCAGGCTGACTGGATGACTGAAACGCTTTGGTATCATTCTGCCACCTCCACTTCATGATTTTTAAACATACATCTCTCAAATAGGAGAACACAAGTGCTAAAGCAACACTTACCAGTAATTTCCCCACTCGATCATTGTTCCAGGCTGCAACAACAAAACAGACTGTTAAAACTATAGTTTAAAGAAAGTTAGAATATTTGGACAGTTTTCACAACATTTACACATGGAAAACATTATGTATTAACAAAATAACTTCCTTCAAATGATAAGCAGATTAAAATAATCTGTAATTACTCTGTTTACTTACTGTATTACTTCTTAGTCTTGCCTGAAGTTTCCTTCAAATGAAAACATAGGGTTTTTCAGCCCTGCAGATATTAGTATCTTGTTGGAGCCTGCCTTCATTTTGGACCCCACACTTTGAGAGCAACATGACTCAGACATCAGCTTTGATAAAACCCACATTTTTAAGATGAGGTCTGTTTTCCATCTACATTGTATAAACAAGCTTTGAACATTTCACAACACAACAGGGCTTAAAAAACAAAAAGAAAAATTGAAACTTACTCGAAGTTGATAGGATCTCAGTTCATAAATATTAGGCCCCTCTCTGGGAACGGGTTCATTCCAGAAACTAAACTCCAACAGTAACTGGTTCTTGCGGGAGAGAAGCATGTTACCTCTTTCTTTACGGAACTCTGTGAATTCCTACAAAACAAGGTGATCACCATCAAACTGTGTATTGTTTCAACAACAAAAAGCAGTATACCATTCTGTGGCTTAGATTTTTTTTTTTAATGCTATCTTGGGGTTGAAATCCTTTTAATTGTAAAGGCATCTAAATTCCCTTGGCATCTGAAAATGTCAAGTGGCACATTTACACCGTACTAAGTGTGTTTCATAAAGGATTCAGGTATTAAACCTCAGTATTTCTGAATATAAGAATAAACCCTTTTCCCAAGAATTTTCTAAGTTTGTACAGAAAGTGATGAGATGTTGAAGTAAGAGCAGGTATCCAAATATGCCGTTTTTTGCTCTGACTGCTTTGTTCTCTTCTGTGTAAAATAACCAATTCTAATAAAATAAAGGTATTTTACCTTATTTTGACGGAGTTTACTCATGACCTCATTGAGGGCTGGATAGCCTCCTTCATATCTCCACAGATGAACTGAAACAGAAAAAAGGAAGCTTTTTCAGGGATGTCACAGACTAGTGCTACATCTTACGGAACATCAGAGTACAAAATGCTCTTCAGACTACAGAATTATACAAAAATAGAAATCAGGTAACAGGTTTAAAAATAGATTTTCATTAAAGAGAGCACTACACATTTGAACATTTTAAGAATAATGGAATCATCTGCTTTTTGAAAAGGGTTCTCTTGGAAAATTTTGCAATCTACTCTGAAGATTACAGGGAAATTTCTGAAAGGATTTTTTGTTGCCATGCTAGTAAGATGTGATGACTGTACAGGCATGACTGTAGTTCAAATTGAGATTCAGTTTAAGAGGATGAGCTATTTACAAAAATGTGTTTCATACCAATTCCGTCTAAAAGCAATAGAGGAGTAGGCTTTTTAGTTCAGTAAATTACTCAAGCACAAAGAGCAACACACTTTCTGCCGGACATAAAAAATGATGCAAATGTTATTTGTGAGGTAAACATTACATTAAAAAAAAGCAGAAGGTATCTGAACATGCTAAACTTGTTACATTTGCTAGGATTCTCCCCATAAAAACAATTTCAGAGCAGGTATCTACATTTGAGTTTTTTCAAAGCATTCTCTCTTTAATAAGTCATAATAAATCCCTTTAATAAAACATAACAAGATTTATTTACAAGCACTTAATATAGCAAGGCAACAACATTTCACCTTGAAGAGTCACAAAAGCTATTTTCTCTCCTCTAAAGCAGTCCTGTGCCTTTTCCAGGAGAGCAAACTGGAGACCAATGTCAGGCACTTCATTATGATAGCAGATTCATCCAGTGTGCCTGCTTCTGCTGTCTTATCCCCAGGGCAAATTTGATATATCCATCTAATATTAACACAGCCTGGGTGCAAGTACTGAACAAGTCAAAACCCCATAATCTGCTTTATTACACTGCTAGAACTGTTGCAATAACATTTTCAAGGCAGGCTATGGATGCAATGACAGCTATAGTCTGTGTTAATACATTACAAAAGCAACGAATGAGACTCAACTAAGACATTCTCATTTCAATTGTCTTCGTTCCCCAATTTCATTTCAACTTTTAGAACTGTTTCTCAGATATTGGTTTATCTACTGTTATTTCTTCAGTGTCAATACTGCAATATGCTGTGAATACAGGAAAAATTAATGTGTGCACGAGCATATTTTTCAACAACGAAGCAATGACATAGCTTCTAACAATGGAGACACATAACAAATATCAGCACACCACTGTGTATCTGTGGCTTCTGATTCCTTCAATTTCCCAGAGCCTAGGAAAATTTTCAGGTTTTCTCCCTACACTAGGCTCTTTGTAGTTACCCCTGTAACAGCTCCTCAGGAATTTCTAGGTCCAATATATTTTCAATCTGCACAGTCAGGCAGTATCCTTGCATGAACATGAACAGAAATATTTTTACTTTCCTCCAGCTTATTGGTGTGTTTACAATGCAATCATTTTTTTCAGATGGCTTGAATAATTTGCATTTCATTATCATACAGCAATTACAGTATGAAAGTCTGAGTAAAGCTTTTATATACTGGCCAATACAAGACAAACTCTGTCTTTGTAAGCCTTTGCCTTTTCCCTAAATATTCAGGAGCATGATCCGTGCCTGCAAAATATTACAGGAACAAATTTTACAAGCATTTCCCAAAACTGTTAATCTACCACCTGGAAAACATGAAAGTGTATTAACAACAGCACAAATTTTAGGAATTAATGCTTCACTGTCAAACTCAACAAGACAAAAAGCAAGCACTGTAAATGTTAATATGACTACCGATAACTGATGCACACACACCCTCACTGTATACATTGCTAAATGTTTACTGTCAACAAGAGATGATTTTTAAAGAGAAGAAACCTGCCAAGCACACGTTTCACTTGTATGGTTTTACATTCTGTTGTACTTCTATCTCCTACCAGCCTGATCTTGCTCTCCGTACCACGTGTTCCAAGTCCCCACCAGTGCACATGGGTAGTGTTTTTCTTCATGAATCTTTGGCAGCACCTCTTGACTTGAAAACAAGGAATACAGACACTATGTTGTATTTCCTCAGGGAGGCTACAGTTGATATGTATAACAAATCACCACACGTTTATCATTATGGTATGAAAATTCACAAGCTCTATTCAGAAGAGAAAGCTGAAATACAAAAATCTGCTATACAAGGGGAAAGAGAGCTACAACACTACGTATATTTAAGGTAAGTGTTACCATTTCTTACACTGTATGACAAATACACAGCATGGTAGAATTCTTTCGATGCAATAAATTATCTATCACCTAAAAGGTTCTCCAATACATTAAGAAAATAAGTATCAGGATGTCTCACAGAAAATGCAGCTTAACTACATGGGTGATCTGCTTTAGGAAAAGCTTTTCTTTATCGAGGTAGAATACACAAAATTAGAAAAGGACAGTCGTTTTTACAAGTTACAATGCTATTAATTCTGCTGAGCTGCATGCATAAAACATTAATAAAGACAAGTATTTTGATAGATCAAATGAAGACTGTAGTTCATAGTACGCAGCCTTATTGCTTTCTACCATTTCAGAGAATGGTCTTAGTTTGAGGCAACTTACCCACTAAAGCATACAGTGAAACTGCCTTAAAAATACCTCCAACACAAAACTTCTGTTTGACTACTTCCAGTATTCATAACATTTTTTCAAACTTTAAAAGTGGCCTACATTAGCATTAGGAAATTAAGTTTTACCATTGCTGACTCGGTTAAGACAGTTTTCATTGCACTGTACTTTGATGAATAAGTCAATTAGTTTGGTTGAACTTTGCCTTTTAATATTTTTCCCTGAATAATTACTCCTCTCACTCAGTTTGGCTCATAGGCAATGAGTCTCTGGACAATATCAAATACTAGGAAGTAGGCTGGTCTTGGGCTGAGAGTCATTAGATATGAGTTTTGCTCTTGATTCTGACACTGACTTTCTACACAACCTTGAGCAAATCTCATTACCAATTTGTACCTCAAGATTTCTCACTAAAAACTGTAAATAATATGACAGAATGTCTCCAAGGATGTTTTCAAGGATGTTTCACCATCAGTTCATTTTTGCAAAGCATAATGAGATCCTAGAAAGGCAGCTTTAAACAGGAACGTTAAATTATTACAATAACCCTAAAATATATTTTCCTGGAAATTATAGGAAAACACACCCACAAAATATCTTAGGAACGTTATCTTTTTCCTTTTTAAAAATAATTGTTCCTAATTCTTCAGACAGGGTCCTTAACCACAATGATTCATGAAGTACTCTCATAATTGTCTTCATTACATTATTTCTTTATTAATACATGATGACTAATCCTTATTCTGATTTGATACAGAATAATTAACCTTTTAATCTTTCATTTAGGGAGAGGAAGAAGGGAAGTTCAGAGAGGCTTAGTTGTTTTTATTACTCCATTCTTAAGTTTTCTCCTTCCCTGGCATACTTAAATTTGCTTTGGTTTGGGAAGAATAAATCTAACCACACACAATTCATCTGATTGCTGTCAGCAGATTCTTTCTTTGCTATTTTCTCTTTCCTTGAAAAGAAAAGCCTCTGCTTTCACTCAATATTTAGGTAGCTCATGAGATAATGCTGAGAAGTATTTTCCTGTCTTGTATAATTGGACATGTTTATATTAAGCTTTTAAACAGAAAGCCGCTTGAATGCTAATTGTGCTTCTCTGTGTATTTATTTTTTTAAACAAAAAAGCTAAAAATACCCTATGATTGAATGTTATTCTAGTGGATTTCTATGTTTGTATAGCAAGGAAAACAGTTTTGGGTTCTCTATCCCCATTTCAAAGCTGAACACATGAAGGCATAGAGATGTCAGATGACCTACGCATGGCTGTACAGCCAACCAGTAACAGAGTTGAGGACATAAACTGGGAGTTTTGAACTTCTTCCCCTCCCTCCAGCCCAGCTGGTTTCTCATCGACACATCACACTTAAAGAACTGGTTGCAGTAAGGTATCAGTCTGCTAAGAATGTTTTATTTAACTGACAAGATGATCACTGTCAGTGAGAAAACGCTGCTGTTTCGAAACCTGTGAGGCTCACTACATGTCCAAATTTAAACACACAGTTCTTGAAAAGGCAGTTGTTCTGGCTCCAGAGGAGCGATTATGTTGGCAGAACATGACTAATATTTCTGCAATCTTGTCCTTTATGTAGTAAATTTAAAATGTTATTAATTCATACATTTTATAAAGCTCTTAAGTTTTTGGAAAACCCCTAACAGTGCTGCTTCCTTTGGAGGATATCACCCCAATGCAAAGAGCTTATCCAAGGATTAGCATAGCTCTTTACGAGTAGATCTCACTAACATTACTTTTGTAGAAGGACATACATGAGCTGAGAGAAAGTCAACCCCTGGGTTTTTTAAATCTCAAAGTTATACTTCAATTAATACCAACATGTAGTTTTACTTATCAGTGATCTCTTCCTTTCCTTCCTGTATGCAGACAATAACCACTGTCAACACATTCCTATGTGGCAGCTGGAGTGAGACACGCCAGCGTACCAGGATCTACCACATGGACCAGCATGTCCAGGAGAAGAGGGACAACTAAGGGAAGGGGGAGAGCTGTTCCAACAAACATCATCAATGTTTTCATGCAAGGCTTTGACTCAAATTGCAGCTTAGGAAAAGGACATCTCCAAGAGGGAAGGTAAGGGGTGAACCGAGTAAAGTATGTTTTGACATCTCTCTCAAAGAATAATATGGTCTGTTTAACACCACACCCTGAAAGTAAAAGCAGAATTTTTTCACCTCTTCTCTAAATAATTATGATATTTGTCAATTTCCAGAACAGCTTGTGATCAAATCAACATATCTAAAATATGAAAACATAATATGCACACTTACCAAAGCTTGTTGTAGGCCTCTAGACATTCTGGTTTTACATTGTGAACTGAAACAACAACATTACATGAGAAATGCAGGAACAGAATAAAGAAATGGTAATGTTAAATATAAAAATATCACTCACTCTGTAGTTTATACAGACTGCTGGTCTCTCTTTTGGCTAGAAGGTTGGAGTGAGCATCTTTCCTTGGATCGACTTTGCGAACAAATAGCGATTTTAACCAACTGTCTTCACGAGGTCTGCTAGCTGAAGATACCAGCCCCCTACGTATTAACAAGTACATTATACTGTCACTGAGCGTGTCTTGAAAATGCCCACGATGCACGGAAGACAGGCACAATCAAGTTTAATGCAAACAGTATCATAACACACATTTACATATACATCTGTTATTAAAACCTTCCACTGAGCCACTTCCTAGCAAGGTAAAGGCAGATCTTTTCCCCTCTGAGATTTATTCTCTCACAATCCATTTTACTAGATACAGAGACAAACAGTAAACCACACACTATCTACTTGTATTCTTTGTGCATACAGCAGGGAATGGGTGGATGGCTGCCTTTACTGCCTATTTATTTTCTCTTTAATCAAGTGTCTTTGCTCAAGAAGGCTGGGTCCGTCCTGAGGTACACAGACAAGACTGAAAAAGAGCAAAGACGGTGTGTGTAAAGAAAAATTTGTACAGTGTAAATAGGAAAGTAACTACCATGTGTTCTTATGTTGCTTAAATATAGCTCTAAAAAAAGGAAAAGTTAAATAATGCATCTTTCAAGAGATAGTGTGTGGTTTACTGTTTGTTTCCTGCCACTATACAATGAAAGTCTAATTTGGGAAAAACTATGAGTGGCAGGAAACAAACAGCCTGAAAATATCTCAACTCCAAATTCTGACAACTGTACTACGTAGGGGCAGATCCACATTCTTTGCACAACATTCACAGTTTCCCTTTCTTTGAAACAGAAGAACTTCACTGTCTTTTTAAATCTAATCTTTATGCAGTACACTTTCAAAATAACACCACTTCCCTGAACACCACAGAATAGACAAAACATTACAATTGATAACTGTGTTTTGCTTTTTTAGGATGATGTGTTAAAGGAATGATTCTTCTCTTTTCTAGCTGACAGAAGACCCCTCAATCACCAAAAATTGTGCAGAAGGCCAAGAAAGCTGAGGTATTTAACTGATTCTCTATGATAGGGGACCCCAAGTTCAAATATTTTTTCTTCTTTCTCCTTAGAAGCACTTCCTTCAATTTGCCTCTTTCTGATATGGGGTATCTGCTGAAATACACAAATATTTCTCAGACATACTAAAAATGTGACACTACAGCTGGAAATTTAAACCTTTTCCTGCCTCAGAAGTCAACTTTTCACCCTTAATTACTGACTAGGAGATCCAGAAGATAGCTATAAAGCTGTCTTCCTGCTATCAAAAGTTTATAACAATCATTCAAGGGAAGAAAAAATAGGTTTTTTTTAAAGAAAATCCCAGCTTCCTTTTGGAAAAGTATCTTTAAGAACATGCTTGTCTGTACTACACAGAAGTAGCTCACACTATAGCAGTGTTTTTTCAACAATCAACCTTTTAGCTCCAATATCTGAAAATAACATAATGAACTGGTTCACCCTGTGGAAGCAAGATAGAGGAAAGGAAAAACATTTCATAGCAGAGAAACAATAATAACCAGAAGAACAACTGCCGCCAAAATGACCTTCAATGTTAAGAAGTAATTGGTAAATACCTCATTGGTGCATTTATTGAAATTGGTGCCTTCGCTGGCCCTAGGCAAACACACAAAACACGTTCCTGTGCTGAAAGTGAAGCAGCTATTCCCCAGCCCAAGGATTTAAAAGGGCATTCCACAAGGCTGCTGCTAGAACAGAGGGTACCCAGCTGCCTGGAGTAGACCTATCTCTGATCTCAGCTGGAGGCAGCGAGGCACAGGTGACTGCAGTTGTGTTGTCACATCTACATCAGGTGCCACAGGAACATAAGCTGTCCCAGATGATAGGGGGTAAATGCCACCTAATAAATCCAAGTTGTTTTAAAAAGTTCTGTTAAAGTAAGCACTAATGCTCACTGGACAGCAAAGAGGGAGCTAGGAGACAGAACTCAATCCCAGTCCTGCAGTGCTCATTTTTTCAACTTAGCTCTGTAAACTACTGCCATTTCCTCCCCTTTATTAAATGGAGTCAGGAAACTAGTACCTAGAACACTCTTTGATGAGGATTATTGTTTGCAGTAAACTTTGAAGGTGAAAGAGATAAATAATCATGATGGGGTTTTTTTGTGAACCAGCTTTATCAGCAGCAAGAATAAACTGAAGTTTACAGGGATAACACCAAAAAGAAAACACCTTTGCTATTAGGAGAACCTCATAACTTGAATGTTAAACTGCACCTAACAATGGAGTTATATTTAATTTTCAACACAATGAAATGAGTAATACTTTACATTTGTATAAAATCTTTTACCCAGCAACTGTAAAGTTCCTCAAGAACAATGACTAACAAATCATGACTATAAATATACACTTTACTTATAATAAAGAATGGTAACAACTGAAGTTTATTAAAACAGATATTCAGTGCACCCAGCCTGAGATGCTGAGGCCTTAGTTTTAATCCATATCCTTAGAGGATTCCTACGTTACTGGTGTCATTCCACGCACCCACAAATCAAGAAGCCTTGAACTGATTACTGGTTCACTTGCGTGGGCAAGACGTACCCAAGATTAGCTCTGGAAGAGTAGGGACTAAATTCATGTCTTTGTCCTGCCACTTGTGAGCATCAACCACAAATCAGTTCAAAACTAATCCATCATCCAAAGATCTTTTAACTAACTTCTTAACACTATGCCCCACAATATTGTAATACTTGTTCCAAGTAAAACAGAAATTGGATCCAAACTGTTCCAAAATCCAAATACCATTAAGGAAGATGTGAATATACACATAGACTGAGTATAGACACTATATGGAACTCCCATCACACTTCACAATTTTTTATTTTCTGGGAACAATATTTATTAAAGGGAGAGTTTTCTTGCAATCTTTTAAGGCACTGCTTGACTTGGCTAGCAAGTTTTATCCTACAAATGGTACCTCTGGGCTTAGCTTTCTTGCTACAGAGATTGGGCTGTGAACACAAAAGGATAACACAGAATAGCTTGCTTAGATTAAAAACAATGGTGAAAACACTTATATCCCACTTAGCTTCTGCTTTAGCACAAAATATAAACTGGGTGGGAGGTATCAGGTCAGATATTTAGATTTTGTAGAAACCCATGTCTGCCTGGAAGAGAGAAAAAAACTTGTCCATAATCAACAGTTCTTGATCTGTAGTCTAAACAGATGTTAAAGTTTATCTGAAACTAAAAAAGCCCCAAAACATGCACATAAAATCTCACAGCATACACTCTCCACAACTCTCCCCGTTCCTGTTTTAAACAGCTGTTTACAGTGATGCCTTTAGTCTTGCATAGGGGCTGCTGCCCATCCCGAGGTCTGAGACAGCAGCTTTCCCTGTTTCAAAGAAAGGGAGGAAAAAAAATGCCTGTGGACCCATCCCAGGTTGGCCTCTTTTGTGTCTCCAACACCCCACAAGCATGTGTGTCTGCTTCCTATACCTGACACGTGTGAGCACATCTGTGCCCTGAGATCTGTGTATGTGTCTGACCCTTCACACATCAGACACGTGGGCACGCAAATGTCTGCACCCCAAAACTTGATGGATGTGTCCGTGTGTGTGTCCTGACACCTGGGGATCATACACACGTGTGTAGCTGTGCATCGTGAGGGCAGGAAGATGCTGGTGAGTGCAGCCGTGCACCCTGACACTGGGGGGAACATGGATGTCGGGCAGGGGTGCAACCTGGCACCCTGGGTGTGGGGCAGCTGTGCCCTGATGCCAAGGATGTTATTGTGTGTGCAGCCATCCACCCCAACACCAGCGGACATGTAGGTGCCCACGCACCCTGTTGCTTGGTGGAGTTGGGATGCGGAGCAGCTGCACACCCTGATCCCGGGGGGATATCTGGGTGCAGAGCATCCGTACACCCCAGCACCAGGAATACATGTGTGCAGGGCGGCTGTGCTCCCTCAGACCCGGCC